AAGGCGCGACCTCAAAAGTACGAGGTGCGAGGTGACATTAGCTTTAGCTTAAAGAAAAAGCAAAGAAAGGAAGGCAACAAARTAAAAACAAATRRGAGCTTCTTTATTGAATGGAGAGCAGAGCCAAGGCTTATAGACCTTGYAGCTCTGCCCTGACACTTACAAACAAARGAGAWGAGAAGAAAGACAGAGAAAKGCYTCATGAAGGATGATCGCCTAAGAGCCTGCCTGARGAGCACCCTCCTGAGTGGTGCCRACCTGGTCCTCTTCGAGGTCGGAGTAGTCAGAGTCCAGATCTCTGACGTACTTATCCACCAACGYTTGGGGGCCAGGGGTGCCACTAGGCCCAGACGCCCACTGCTCAGCATACTTCTTCTTCAGACCACCGAGATCGATCTGAAGGTCAGGCATGTCGGAAGCAATGACCTTCATGAGAAACTTGAAGCCCGCGTCAGAGAAGTCTTTGGCAAATCCATCGAAGTCGGGATGTTGCCTGAACGATTCCTCCAATAGGGCTCCATTGCTGAGACGCTCCTTCACCATCTCCAGCTCAGCAGTCGCGTGCTTCAGCTCCTCCTCCTTCGCTTCAAGCGCCTGGAGCATGTCGTCCTTCTCCTTGAGGAGTTGGAACTTCTCCTTCTCCAAGCCCTTGGTGATAGCATGGGCAGCTCGGAGCTGGGCCTTGCGTCTGTCCTTTTCCTTCTTCAGTAGCTCGGCCTTGGTCTCCACCTCGGCCTTCAAAATTTCCACCTCAGAGTGAGCCTTCAGCAGCTCATCCTTCATGGTGGAGGAAGCAGCCTCCAAGGCAGCAGAGAACTCCTCTTTCTCCCTCGTTGCCAGAACATCCCTCCCATCCAGTTCGGCCTTTACAGCCAGAGCCGATTGAATGGAAGCAACAAACGCCTGAGGAAAAACACGAAGAAGAAAGTTAGACCGAGCTACCTGTTAGGTAAATTAAGCAAAAATAAAGACACCAATCTTACCTCAGCGGCGTAGTCGATGGTCCTCTACAGGACGGACCCCGAGTCACTTACAAATTTGGACGCTCTTCTGAGGCAGCGGTCCAAACTTGCAGCCGAGATGCGGGACACCTGGTCCCTCACCCCAGAACTTGACGGCTTGATTCTGAACCGTGCTGTCACGTCGGACGTCCCGCCCATCCTGGCCTCAGGATCGTCCACCCGATCTGCGAAGCTCGCAGGCAA